CGAATCTTCCCCACCGCTTTTATTAATATAATGTCAGATTAATTTATTTGCCGCCACTGTTTGTTTGTGCGTGCTAAACACAGCATAGCAGCAGATGAAAATGTGCATATTTTTGTATTTGTTGTTGTGGTTGCTGCCCTTCTGACAATGATCCTCATGTGGCGCTTTACATTGACGAGTGTTTGTATGCATGCATGTGTGCATATTAAGAGCTACATACAGTGTTGCCACACAATTTTTTTATTTTTTACCAAAACACCGGAAAGACTTACCAAATTCAACAAAAAATTACCAAACTTACTTTATGCCCAGAACTGCACAAACATACATACGAGGCAATTCACGTCAAATGTCCCAAGCGCGCTGAGCGGTGCAAAACAAGNGTTACCAAATTCAACAAAAAATTACCAAACTTACTTTATGCCTAGAACTGCACAAACATACATACGAGGCAATTCACGTCAAATGTCCCAAGCGCGCTGAGCCAAAGAACATAAATCTATAAGAAGAGACAACACGTTATAATTGTAGCGAGTGTGAACATCAGGAGCGTGCCTTCTCTTTTGCCCAAATACGTTTTTTGATTGGATGAAAAGAAAAGGCACGCTCCTGATGTGAACACTCGCTACAATTGTAACGTGTTGTCTATTCTTATAGATTTACGTTCTTTGGCTGAGCGGTGCAAAACAAGCTTGTTTTCGAATAGCTGAAAAGCAGACTGAAAATGGGAAAAGTAATTCAAAAACCATGATTTATATAGATTTTTGTACGGGCTATCCGATGGTGTTATGCGTTTTCCAAAATTTTCCCATTTTCACGGTGAAAATTCGCAACGAAATTTTATTTGTAATTTTTCTCAATTATGGTCATTTTTTATATTGTTTTAAGTCATCTCAATCGAAAGATCAGGTCTTTTTACATATAAATCATTAATAAAAAAAGGGACTTTTTTGATTTTTTCGAGCTATAAAGCGTTTTATAGCGGGCTATACCCGCCACTCTCCGTCGCGTCACGTCGACTCCGTTCGTTTGAACGAATTAAAACATCATACTGTGATAGGAAATTTTTACAAAATCATTATTTAAACAAACACACTATATCTCAGACGTTTGTGTATCGATCGATTTGAAATTTTCACACAATAAACTAAAAACTATTCCAAAGAATTTAAGTTTAAAAAAAACTTCTTAATACTTATTAAAAACAAAATGCCGGTTTTTAGAACTTTTTTATAAAAATAAATGGGATTGTCTTATTCTAATTAAAAATGTGTGTTATAAAGTTTAAATCTAATTTCTTTTTTAATGCAGCATTATAGACAAATATCTGAGACAGGTGTTGGGAAACTTTCAGATTTAAATATCAGGTCGTTCAAAAGTTATAACAATATGAAGGTGATGCGTACGTGTTAGATATATCGAGTTTAAGTAAAAAAGTGAAAGTTGGCTCGGTTCGTTTGCACGAATTTAAAAAAAAAATTTTTTAAGTAGTGAGTGAGAAAAACGTTTTGAAAACAAAAACTCAACAAATAAAAAAACTCAGAAAAATCCAAAAGAAGAGACCTAAATGAGACATCTAATTAAAAGGCAACCTAACTGCGCTCGGTTGGGTATAACTAAATGCAAAAATCTATGCGCATCACCTTCATATTTTTATAACTTTAGAACGACACGATATTTAAATCTGAAAGTTTCCCAAAAACTATTTCAGATANCCACCTTCATATTTTTATAACTTTGGAACGACACGATATTTAAATCTGAAAGTTTCCCAAAAACTATTTCAGATATTTGTCTATAATGCTGCATTACAAAAGAAATTAGATTTGAAACTTTATAACACACATTTTTAATTAGAATAAAACCGCCCCATTTATTTTTATAAAAAAGTTCTAAGAACCGGAATTTTGTTTTTAATAAGTATTAAGAAGTTTTTTTAAATTTTAATTCTTTGGAATAGTTTTCAGTTTATTATGTGAAAATTTCAAATCGATCGATATACAAACGTCTGAGATATAGCGCGTTTAAATAAAGAATTTTGTAAAAATTTCCTATCACAGTATGATGTTTTAATTCGTTCAAACGAACGGAGTCGACGTGACGCGACGGCGCGTGGCGATTGGTATAGCCCGCTATAAAACGCTTTATAACTAGGAAAAATCAAAAAAGTCCCTTTTTTATTAATGATTTATATGTAAAAAGACCTGATCTTTCGACTGACATTACTTAAAACCATATTAAAAATGACCATAATTGAGAAAAATTACAAATAAAATTTCGTTGCGAATTTTCACCGTGAAAATGGGAAAATTTTGGAAAACGCATAACACCATCGGATAGCCCATACAAAAATCTATATAAATCATGGTTTTTGAATTATTTTTCTCATTTTCTGTCTGCTTTTCAGCTATTCGAAAGCAAGCTTGTTTTGCACCGCTCAGCGCGCTTGGGACATTTGACGTGAATCGCCTCATACATAGGTTTGTACATATGTATATCTAAAGACACCAAGCTTTTCAGACAATCAGCGCTCCATTCACCTAAAATTTTTATAACTGCGTTAACGCTAAAAGCCACAACACCAGAAACGCTTGGTAAGGATTTCAAACCTATGTAAGTGTGGCCGAAGAAACAAATTTGTCGATTTCGCGCCGTTTCANACAAGCTTGTTTTGCAGCGCTCAGCGCGCTTGGGACATTTGTGAATCGCCTCATACATAGGTTTGTACATATGTATATCTAAAGACACCAAGCTTTTCAGACAATCAGCGCTCCATTCACCTAAAATTTTTATAACTGCGTTAACGCTAAAAGCCACAACACCAGAAACGCTTGGTAAGGATTTCAAACCTATGTAAGTGTGGCCGAAGAAACAAATTTGTCGATTTCGCGCCGTTTCAAGAACATGGGACTGTCTTATGTCTCCATCCAAACAAAGCTCAGGCCACAAAAAAACTGACGGCGTCTGATCGTTCAGTGTCATGGATANGTTACAAATAAAATTTCGTTTCGAATTTTCACCGTGAAAATGGGAAAATTTTGGAAAACGCATAACACCATCGGATAGCCCATACAAAAATCTATATAAATCATGGTTTTTGAATTATTTTTCTCATTTTCTGTCTGCTTTTCAGCTATTCGAAAACAAGCTTGTTTTGCAGCGCTCAGCGCGCTTGGGACATTTGTGAATCGCCTCATACATAGGTTTGTACATATGTATATCTAAAGACACCAAGCTTTTCAGACAATCAGCGCTCCATTCACCTAAAATTTTTATAACTGCGTTAACGCTAAAAGCCACAACACCAGAAACGCTTGGTAAGGATTTCAAACCTATGTAAGTGTGGCCGAAGAAACAAATTTGTCGATTTCGCGCCGTTTCAAGAACATGGGACTGTCTTATGTCTCCATCCAAACAAAGCTCAGGCCACAAAAAAACTGACGGCGTCTGATCGTTCAGTGTCATGGATAAGGTTCATTGCAACAAAGGATTGTCAGGCGCATAATTTCCCGTAGAGGGAATGTCATTTGACCTCTAAGATCATCCGACTTGGCACCGTTAGACTTTTTTATGAGGCTATTCTAAAAAATCAACGGTAATTTTTAGCGATTAAAAACTTCATTCTACTAGAATTCAATGGGCTACAAAATTTTTCTAGGAAATCTAATTTAAAGCTCGAAATTTTTACGAAACTTTGTTGAATTTTTTTAAATATTGAACATAGTTTGAAACTTGGAATTACACGGATTCTGTTAAAGAAATAACTATATTTTTAAAAAATTATAAAAAATAACATACTTTTTCGATCACTCTATGTAAACAATTNGGCACCGTTAGACTTTTTTATGAGGCTATTCTAAAAAATCAACGGTAATTTTTAGCGATTCAAAACTTCATTCTACTAGAATTCAATGGGCTACAAAATTACATTTTTCTAGGAAATCTAATTTAAAGCTCGAAATTTTTACGAAACTTTGTTGAATTTTTTTAAATATTGAACATAGTTTGAAACTTGGAATTACACGGATTCTGTTAAAGAAATAACTATATTTTTAAAAAATTATAAAAAATAACATACTTTTTCGATCACTCTATGTAAACAATTCGCCGAAAATATCTCAAAAATTCAACGCGTGAAGGCAGTCCTGAAAGCTTTCGAATCACACATAGACAGAGTGAGGTCCTCCACTGAATGCCGTAGCTTTTTGACAGAGAGCATACATATTTACATAGAACTCTACTCATATGCATGGTTGCCGGGTGCACCGGAAAATGTATAGTAATTGCAAAGCTGACGAACCGACAGGGAAAGGTACGACCATCCAAAACCTTCCGGGAAAGGACACAGTAGATATAACAATAGCCACTTTCAAGCAGTTTGTTAGAAATCACACCATTCTAGTAACCAAGGAACACTGGAAGCCTTTGGACTTTTCGCCTTGCGAAACTTTCAAGATTACCTGGTATATCTATAAAAGGAAACGCTTACGGGCCACTTCCTAATGNGTGAATGCCGTAGCTTTTTGACAGAGAGCATACATATTTACATAGAACTCTACTCATATGCATGGTTGCCGGGTGCACCGGAAAATGTATGGTAATTGCAAAGCTGACGAACCGACAGGGAAAGGTACGACCACCCAAAACCTTACGGGAAAGGACACAGTAGATATAACAATAGCCACTTTCAAGCAGTTTGTTAGAAATCACACCATTCTAGTAACCAAGGAACACTGGAAGCACTTTTCGCCTTGCGAAACTTTCAAGATTACCTGGTATATAAAAGGAAACGCTTACGGGCCACTTCCTAATGTGGCATCAGAACCTGTATTGACCTATGTGACATGTAGGACCGAATAGAAAAAGTTACAAGATTAAAAAATAAATTACCAGATTTGATAAATAAAGAAAAAATTACCAATTTTGGTTAAAAATAACCAAAGCGGCAACGCTGGCTACATATGTATTTATTCCCCATCTATGGGGTGTTTCTATTGTAGCAATGGATCTAATTTTATGCAGCTAAATATCTGCGACACCCGGCTGAAATGTTATTGCCGACAAAGCAAATGCAGAGTTTTACTTTCATTTTTACCAGGCGCTACATGTGTATGTAACTATGCACATATGCATGTACAGTGAAGCCCATTGGGAAAATAGGTAAGCACCATACGAGGTAAACCATGCTTTCTTTCAGTTTTTAGTACCAAAATTGTCATCATGGCCAATATCATCTACTAGTAAAGCACAAAATGAACACCTCCGACGACACATTACATTGTCAGTTGCAAAATAACGTGCAGCCGAAGTTATTTCAAGCGCCGAACTACTCCTAGCGACTGCTCTGCATTACACGTAACTCACTTTGTAAAGCGGCTCAGAAGTATGTCCTACTACAGAAGTAAATTCCTACTTACATAAGGCGGCCACGTCTTTGTTAAAGTAAGGGAGATTCGTCAGTGAAGTGGTAAGGACCGCCGGGTGAAGGGCAATACCTTACCAGCAAATAGCCGGACAAGACGTTATTCTAAATAAAAAATAAATAAAAATACCTCTGCAATTTTGTAAGATATACTAAAAATTTATTCATCGTTGAAAGCACCGAAATATCTTCTCTTAAATGACATACATACATATGTATGAATATGAGGGCTTATTCAAAATTTTTAGTATGCAGATTATTTGCTGGTATATTCATTTATATAAAATATATTAATTTTTGGTTTTGTAACACCGTTTAATAAATAAAAAAATTCATTAACGGCCGTTAACTTATCTGTTTTAAAGTATAGTTAGGCTTAACTACAGAAAATTCTGTGTAATTTTAAATATATATATTAACCGCCCTAATACGCTATTTTTATTATAGAAATTTACTGTTCACCAAACCGATCTATAGTTTTATCAACAATCTCAGATTGGTTCTCTTATACAAACTTTCGATGAACACTTAGAAGACACAAACCTTAAGATAAAGTAATAAACAATTGAACTATAAATTTATTTATTAGTCACCGTTCAATCCATTTTCGCTCATTGTCGACAACAGCCAGGATTTTACCCTTCTTAACACTTCGGATGGCGCGCTTGGAAAGTTACACGAGAGGGCGCGGCTCCATAATTTTTTTGGGAAAAAATAGAAGGAGTGGTCCTAGGTCATTGATATTTTGCACACAGGTTATATGTGAGCTAGTTAAGAAATATTCCGGAAATTGTTGAAATCGGTCAACCCCTAGGGGTACCTCCCTTGGACCTATAAAAAAAAAATTAAATACAAATTTTAATTTCAGCTCAAGAAAGGAAGATATCTTCACGAAATTTGGCGCATAAGTTACCCTCATGAAAGGCATTGACGGTACCAAAAATAGTTGAAATCGGCCACTCCCTAGGGGTACCTCCCTTGGACCTATAGTAAAATTTTTTAAATACAAATTTTAATTTCAACTCAAAAAAGAAATAATATATCTTCACGAAACTTGTCAAATAAGTTACTTTCATGAAAGGTATGGACAATACCAAAAAAGGGCGTGATTGGCAAATAACCACGCCCACTTCTCATACACCTTTTTTTTCCAACACAAATAAAGATATATTTCAGTAATTAAAAAGGAGCCATTGTAAAATCGAAAATATAACTATATATGGAAAGAAAAATTATAACAAAAATTTTTAATTAGAATTTCCTTGACAACAGGATCCAATTCCATAGACGTTTTGTTGGGTTGACGTCTTATGCACGTTATATAAGGATCAGAACTTGCCAGCAATCGATTTCATACTGAGATTTNAAACACAAATAAAGATATATTTCAGTAATTAAAAAGGAGCCATTGTAAAATCGAAAATATAACTATATATGGAAAGAAAAATTATAACAAAAATGTTTAATTAGTTAGAATTTCCTTGACAACAGGATCCAATTCCATAGACGTTTTGTTGGGTTGACGTCTTATGCACATTATATAAGGATCAGAACTTGCCAGCAATCGATTTCATACTGAGATTTTGTTAACTCTGTATCCATTATTATCCCCAGTGCGACTGAAGCACTAATATAGTCTTGTCTACTGTTTCCTTTCTCCAACATTTCACTTGCCATTGAAAGTTGTTGTTTTGGATACCAGGGTTCGGAAATTCTCATTTATGATTATTCGTTTTCATTTATTTATGAGATTTATCGCGATCGATAAAATTCCAAATCAATTTTTGCATTCTTTTATCGCGTGTGAAAAATGCAAACAAATTTATCATCTCTCACATTCGGAATGCGATCGACAAAAAAATTTCCCGCTCTTTTTCATCCGCGATCGAAAAAAGCAAAGAAATTTCCTCTCACTCGGATATGAGAAGTCCGAGCATTGCCGATGTCGGCCTCTCATAAATGAGAAAAATTATGCAAACAATCCATTCGCGATCACTCACACTCACACAACAGCTTATCGCGATAAACTTATCGCGAAAAATTTTCAACGACGTTGTACGGGAGATATTTTTCGCGTTTGTTTTGGGTATGCATTTTGTTATGCATACAGCATACATACATACATATATGTAATACTTCTTTATTGCTAGTCCCGATCCCGCCCATCCCGAAATTCGATTTTTTATTCCCGAACCGGCCATCCCGACGTTTTCCAGAGTTGTACCGCGGGTCCCATGGGTCCCGATATATATCTCTAAAGCAGGCTACAAACGGACCACAAATTGAAACGACGGTTGAGATTTCAACGTGTGTGGCGTGGTTCACAAACCGATCGAAGGTCGACAAAAATGTTCATGTCTTTCGAATTAATTTCAAATAATAATGAAAGATCTGGCATCTTCCGATTTTGTTTTGCTTTCCTGTTCGTTTTCGTCTCAATGAAACATTAGGAGTACATATTTCAAACATCGTTTTTAATTATGATTTTATGAATTTGCGGGGATTGCGGTTTTATCGGGAGTGTCGGGAAAGGATGTGGGTCGCGTCCCGCCCGCCATATTTTTACAGATCTTCCCGATACCGCCCATCCCGGCCAATTTTAAATCAGTACCGAGGGTCCCGCTATCCCGCGCCCATCTCTAGTGCCATATCATAACAGGGCCGGTTCAGGGAATTCAACAAACAAACACAAATTTGGCGGTCTCATGTTTCCTTCACGCTGAAATGTATATCGAGCCCTAGCCGCGAAAATTAAGTAAGACAACTTTTTTCAAAATTTAATTTTGATGCATAAATGCCTCTTAGACCACCTGCATCAAAAAGTAAATTTTAAAAAAGTATATATATACCTACATTATTTTAGCGGTTAGGGCTCAGTATGACGAATTTCTCCGAAGCTCCTCGTTATTTGGAAATCTGAAAAATTGGAAGATAGAAGATCTTTTCCTAACAAGGACAAAACTTATTTACACATAAAGCGGTGTGGTATTTTATATGTTGGCCGAATCCAATAAAGCACGTTATTCGATTCCCTTCTATGCTGATTGACGCCAATTGGAAATGCCAACTGATGCCAAGTCCTTCTCTAACTGGTATTTTTATCCTCTGCCACCACCAACGGCCGCAGCGCTTCTCATAGATTTACCAAATTTGACAAGGGATGACGGAAAATCGTTCCACATTACATCACACTCCTACCCTGTCGGAAACACCAACAACGAAAATGAGAATTTTTTTTTTGTTAATTTTTCATAAGAGTTGTTCTTAAATAAAAATTTGTGAAACCGCTCCTGAATTTTGAAAAGTAAAATTGTCATTCTGAGTACATTCTCTTATCGGATCTCTCTTTCTTTTTCAATATTTCGGCACTCTGATGTTGGGGAATGTACTCTGAATGTACTAGCAATATAGAAGTATTACATATATGCATACATATGTACATATGTATATGGAAGTAATGCAAGCAAATGCTTTTCGGTTGGAAGGAATGTAGGAATATGCGCAAATATATGAATTATGGTGGTAACATATATGTATGTATGTACATATAAATTACATACATGCATACGTGTAGTTAAAGTACATATATTCCAAGCGTACACTTTTCAGTATAATGGTGTATCTGATTGCGTTTATTTTTTATCACCCGTATGCTGTAATCCGAATGTTCGTAGTTACGAATTCGTAGCTCCGTTCCGAAAATTCGAATATTGGTATGCTGTAATCCGATCGTAACTATCAACGGCGTTGCCAACTAAAATAGTGAAATTCGAAGTTCTTACTCAGCTGCTTTGGCAGAAACAAATCAAAATAAATATACAAAATCGCAAGTGAATAGTGAAATTAAAAAAAAAATCGATCACAGTTTATAAATTCCTCACTTAATTCTTTATAAGATACTGAAAATGCACTCATTGTTTAAATAAAAAATTAATAATATATCGCAAAGTTATCTAATGCCTCTATGTCTAAACATTCGTAAAAAAATAATTATGATTTCTCGTTGTTCGCTTCGCGTTGCAGCAGTATTCGCCACAATATATAAACGTCAATATATTTTCATAACCTTAAAAGTGTTATTTTTATATCTAATATTTACTAATATTGCATTTTTATCTAATCCTCTCTATGCCTTCACATTCGTAAACAAAAAAATGTCGCATAGATGTAAACGTTAAATACACGCATGATCCTAAAAGCATTACACATTTTCTTACTTTTATTAAAATTTGAAGTGACTTCGTCATTTAAATCAAGTTTACGTCGAGAGGGGCAAATATTAGCAAAAATTTTTTTTCAGGAATCGATAGAAAATGTACCAAATTTTCATTTTATTACAGTTAGAAGATGTAGCACGATGTAGCACGCTGTAGCACACAAACTTTTTGTCCATTGAAAGTAGCAAAGGTAGCATTTATGAAGTACCACTTTTGCTGGAAAATTATATTATTTTAATAACTGGTCGATTGCAATGATTTTTTCTCTCTTTAGTCAAGTAAGTGCTATATTTTCTTATAAACTCACAACAAAAACAATATAGATAAAAGTTATAAGGAAAATATATAGCTCAAGTTAGCAAAAATTCCAAGCAGTTTTAGTGTGTCTCAAGCAAGGTGTGTCTCAAAGGTTGACTGCATTTTTTTTT